AGTGTACCCATCAATCCATGCTTTGGATCAGTGTGTGATATTAATTCAGATTAATTATCAGTGTACCCATCAATCCATGCTTTGGATCAGTGTGTTATATTAATTCAGATTAATTGTCGGTGTATAAATGCCCATGATTTGGATCAGTGTGTGATATTAATTCAGATTAATTGTCAGTGTATAAATGTCCATGATTCGGATCAGTGTGTGATATCAATTCAGATTAATTAGGTGTATAAATGTCTATGATTTGGATCAGTGTGTGTGATATCAATTCAGATTAATTCAGTGTATAAATGCCCATGATTTGGATCAGTGTGAGTGATATTAATTCAGATTAATTCAGTGTATAAATGTCCATGATTTGGATCAGTGTGTGTGATATTAATTCAGATTAATTCAGTGTATAAATGCCCGTGATTTGGATCAGTGTGTGTGATATCAGTTCAGATTAATTGTCATTGTACCCATAAATCCATGATTTAGATCAGTGTGTGATATTAATTCAGATTAATTATCAGTGTACCCATAAATCCATGATTTGGATCAGTGTGTGTGATATCAATTCAGATTAATTCAGTGTATAAATGTCCATGATTTGGATCAGTGTGTGTGATATTAATTCAGATTAATAATCAGTGTACCCATAAATCCATGATTTCGATCAGTGTGAGTGATATCAATTCAGATTAATTCAGTGTATAAATGTCCATGATTTGGATCAGTGTGTGTGATATTAATTCAGATTAATTCAGTGTATAAATGTCCATGATTTGGATCAGTGTGTGTGATATTAATTCAGATTAATTCAGTGTANTCAGTGTGTGTGATATTAATTCAGATTAATTCAGTGTATAAATGTCCATGATTTGGATCAGTGTGTGTGATATTAATTCAGATTAATTCAGTGTACAAATGCCCATGCTTTGGATCAGTGTGTTATATTAATTCAGGTTAATTATCAGTGTACCCATAAATCCATGATTTGGATCAGTGTGAGTGATATTAATTCAGATTAATTCAGTGTATAAATGCCCATGCTTTGGATCAGTGTGAGTGATATCAATTCAGATTAATTGTTGGTGTACCCATAAATCCATGATTTAGATCAGTGTGTGATATCAATTCAGATTAATTTAGTGTATAAATGCCCATGCTTTGGATCAGTGTGTGTGATATCAGTTCAGATTAATTATCAGTGTACAAATGTCCATGCTTTGGATCAGTGTGTGATATCAATTCAGATTAATTATCAGTGTACCCCTCAATGCATGCTCTGGATCAGTGTGTGATATTAATTCAGATTAATTGTCAGTGTACCCCTCAATGCATGCTCTGGATCAGCTGTGCTGTGTCTCCTGTCAGATATTGGTAGATACAGTCTGGGCCCTCTCCTATCTGACGGATGC